GTCCTCTCCAAAGTAGTTTCAAATTGAACCAAACGAAAGTTTGCAGCGGCCACTTTGAGCACTAAGTACTTAGTAGTTGATAGTAAGCTGCCGCCGCGGAAGCGCAACGTAACACTAGAGGCAAGCAAAAGGTTGGCGGAGAAAAGAAAAGTTCACCTTTCTTGGGTACCAAGGAATAAATAAGACTATTGCAAAGTACTATATTAAAATATATAAAAAAGAATGAAAAGTTTTCCACTTTAGTTTAGGCAAAAAAAACTATGAATACGATTTTCAGTATAGATCTCCACATATTCACCTTGGCAGAGAGTCAACTACATATGTTCTACACTTCCCGGAATAATAAGTGTCAATTTAGACAAAGTAGTTTTATTCGAATAGATCGGTGCCAGGTATACTTCCCAGAAAACTCTGATCTGGCGCATACGTCATATGCTGAACACACCTTCCAACTTTCAGGTCTCTACGATCAGTGGTTTAGGTTATGGGTTGACCCGTTAGTCATTCATAAGCCTTTTATAAGGTTGTCAAATATCCCCTTCCGCTTTTTTGTCTTTTGAATTTCGCGGCTAGGTACAAAGCGCTACAGAGCTCGTATCTGGCAACACTATACATAATTTGAAAGGTCTTGACATAACCTACAAACAACGCTATGCATGATTAGTTTGGATATTGCGTTCAACAGTTATAGACGTGTAAACATGGAGTTCACTAACGCCGAAATTCGCGCTATTTTAAAGTTTTCCTTCGTTAAAGGCAAATCCGCTATAGAAACGTTCCGTGATATTAATGGTGTTTTGGGGGATGGTACACTATCACTTCGAACCGCGAAGGAATGGTTTCGACTGTTCAGAGCCGGAAGACCTGTGACGACAAATACATATCAAATAATGGAATACATCGAGTTAGACCGACATATGGCATCTCGTGACATCGCCCAGGAGATGGGAGTTAGAAACCAAACCATTTTGAACCATCTGCAGAAGGCTGGATACAAAAAAAAAGTTTGATGTTTGGGTGCCCCATAATTTGACGCAAAAAAACCTTCTGGACCGAATCCTGAAACTCCTGAAATGGAACGAACTCGACCCATTCTTGAAGCGGATGGTGACTGGCGACGAAAAATGGATCACATACGACAATATCAAGCGAAAAAGGTCGTGGTCAAAGGTCTGTGAATCGTCCCAAACAGTGGCCAAGCCGGGATTGACGGCCAGGAAGGTTTTGCTGTGTGTTTGGTGGGATTGGAAGGGAATCATCCACTATGAGCTGCTCCCATATGACCAGACGCTTAATTCCCCCATCTACTGCGAACAACTGGACCGCTTGAAGCAAGCGATCGACCTGAAGCGTCCAGAATTGGCCAACAGGAAGGGTGTAGTGTTCCACCAGGACAACGCCAGACCACACACTTCGTTGATGACTCGTCAGAAGCTACGGGAGCTCGAATAGGAGGTTTTATCGCATCCACCATATAGCCCGGACGTAGCGCCAAGTGATTACCACCTGTTCCTGTCCATGGCGAATGCCCTTGGTGGTGTGAAGTTGAACTCAAAAGAGGCTTATGAAAAGTGGCTGTCCGAATTCTTCGCAAATAAAGAGGGGGGCTTCTACGAGGAAGGTATTGTGAAGTTTCCGTCTAGATGGAAACAGATCATCGAAACAACTTTTTACACGTAGTACAACACGCGTCGTGTTCCAAAATTGGAGTTCTCGTCTAAAGTGACAATTTGCTGTTAAATTCGGTTTTATTTAAATTTTCTATACATATTTGCATGCCAAAATCTGTGACGAAGATTATTTTTTTATGTCAATTAATGTGCGCTTCAGCTATTTTCAAAACTGCTCACATTTCATTCAAAAATAAATATTTATGTTTTTTCTAAAAATACAAAACAAAAATTAGTTCAAAATTAATTGGTAAATTTACACCAATCAAAACGTCAATTGAAAATAAACCGTTATCACTTTAAAATTATAATTAGTACATAAAAAAATACACACTTATATGCATACATATATACATACTGTCATGTATAGATCTGATTAATTTATTTGTTTGGTTTCCATATGCAAATAATTTAAAAATTCTTAAATCGTGTTGCTGTTGTCAGCAAGCATTTAAATACACACATATTATATATATATATATATATATATATATATATTTGATATATACATATGTACGTATTTATAGAAATATTTATGTAGTGTTATGTATTATTGTCATCGTCTGACTATTAACGAGCACCAAGTGAGGCACGCGCCAATACATCAATTCTGGTTTTGAAAACAAATTGTTTTCCTTTTTTGCTGTTTGTTTACGGCACTGATTCGAAATAATTGATAAGAAATAAACTTAGTACACTATTAAAAGTTATTACGAGTAATGCACAAGGAACTATCATATAAAAGATCTCTATTCGCGCTGATGATGAAGAGAGACGGGAAAGAAGAGATGGTGCCAAACAAAAAGGGAACAGGAATAAAAGAAAACGTACCTCTAGTCAATTGTATTAGAGATGAGGTTTCCTACTCCTAATTAATTTTGATAGGATGAGATTAGCATATCCTCAAGGAAAAGGTTTAAACACTGTTCGGCGAGAAAAGTCAAGGAGAATTAGTCAGCAACAAATTTGAGGAAGTAAGACGATTTACTCATCCGAGGCGTTGTCAAATTTTTCATTGGTGCTGGTTTGTACGTGGCGGGTACCAAACCCAACGCACAACCTCGCTAGGCGAGTAAGTTTACAGTTTTTTTTTTTTACACATTTACATAGCCGCACCTCTGGTGAACAGATGCTGCAATTAGACTTCAGCATACCCTTAAACCGAATAAGTCGGAGTGGCTCCACTGAAGCTTCCTCTCTCAATAGCCGTGACCCAAGGCTCCACACGGGTTGATTACCGCATCTTGCACAAGGGTTGCTCACGTTTCCAGGGTGCGCGACGTGGACGCAAGATTAGGAATTGAGTATAGCCTCGCAACTGTAACCGCATACCCAGAAGATTGACTACCCTTGTAATCCAACGCAGAATCTCTCTTGCTAACAGGTGCTACTTTGGACTGAGTAGGCAATTGAAAAGTAAAGTCCACTCCCGACGAACGAAAACCACACTCTACAAGTCTCTTATCGTTCCCGTCCTGTTATATGGTGCGGAAGCATGGACGATGACAGTATCCGATGAGACGGCGGTAGAAGTTTTCCAGAAAAATATTTTGCGTAAGATTTATGGTTCTTTGCACTTTGGCAACGGCGAATACGGCAGACAATGGAACGTTGAGCTGTACGAGTTATACGGAGACATTGACCTAGTTCAGCGAATCAAGAAGCAGCGGCTACGCTGGCTAAGCCATGTGGTCCGTACAGATGTGATTACTCCAGCTTTGAAAGTTTTCGACTCAGTACCCGCCGGTGGAAGTAGAGGAAGAGGAAGACCTCCACTCCGTTGGAAAGACCAGATAGAGAAGAACCTGGTTATACTTGGTATTTCCAATTGGCGTCAAACAGCAAAAAGAAGAAACGAATGGCGCACAGTTGAAAATAGGCTATAATCGCGTAAGCGGTGTCTACGCCAGTAAAGTAAGTAAGTCGCATTACTCCAAAGACTGGAAGTAGTTTCATAAGAATTTTCGGTAAACTGGGATGGGTCTACCTCGCCTCCTTCTGGCTAATGAACCGTTTCATGCACATGAATGGTATAACAAGCAATTTCAAAGCACTTTTACGGCCAGGGCTCAAATCCTTGTTCGACAATCATCCAAAATTAATTTTTCTACTTGCGGTCGCGCTTCTCCAGGAATGTCAAGCTGTTCGAGAGTATTTCCGGCATGAAATAAAAGCTCCTCATAGAAATTCATCGGTCGCTCGGAGTTGATATAGAATAAACTGTAGGTCCCTTTATTTGCTGGAAAATGTAAAGACGCATAGCACAAATTTGAGCAGCAGCTTGGCCCAAAAACGAAATTGATACATGCTTCACGGCCGCTAAACCATAGAGGTACTAGTAAATACATAAGAAATATGCTTGAAATACGAACATGAGCTTGGAAAGTCGCTACGAGCAGGCAAAATCAGTCTAAGTAGTCAAGGTTATCTAATGGTAGGTCGAGATTTTTCGGACCAAAGGGATAGGGTTGTTAGGTTAGCATGTTTTAGTGGTCATGCAGAGAGCTCAATGCATGCAAGAGATATATAGTATGTCGTTGTTAAGCCACGATAAGTGGGCTTTGAATCTACTCTCCAGATCTTAATTGTTTCAATTTTATTCGGATCTTGCGAGGCAGCGTAAGCTCTTCGTCTGCTATGGTTGTTAGTGGTTGGATTCCCAGCACGCCATTTACAAACTGTCTATGATGGTGCTTACAGACTCTCTGTGAATGTCGTTTAGGCACTTCCATTTCTTCAATGCAGACTGTGTGGTGTGCTCTCAACGAACGCGACTCGAGCAGCTCGCCGAATAGAACTATAGGAAATGTGAGAAAATTTTGTAAATGATCGAAATTATCCGATAATCCGGAATACAGAATTTGTTGATCAATTGTATTCGAAAATAGATTAAGTTAACCTAAATGCGTTAGGACTTCAGAACATGATTATGATTAGATTATATGTATATGATATCTACATTTGTAATTGAAGCGATTTCCTTCGAGCTCCTCCAGTGGCCGTTGGATTTTTATTAGGAGCTTTGAATTTTTTTGTCATAAATACACTCAAAGGTCTTGGCATTACCTGGCGAGGAGCGATCGTATATAGAGAGTTTAATTAAACATTTAAAAATAATACTAAAAACCTGGAAAAAGATTTCCAACATCCTGTGAATGCCAGATGTATTTTAGTTTATGTAGTATAATTAGCTTCTAAGACGAAATTAGATCTATATTAGCTCAACATTTGGTCATTTTGTATTCTAAGTCCAATATAATATCTGACGACCATACTTATGTTTAGCGCATAATTTTTGTTTTTTCTTTATTATTATTTTTCCTTGAATAGTCTGTTGCCGAAGATAATCAATGGTGGCATTGCTGGTATTATCGGTGTCTCCTGTGTTTTCCCATTAGATTTGGTCAAAACCCGCTTGCAAAATCAACAAGTTGGACCAAATGGCGAAAAAATGTACAAAAACATGTAAGTTGGAGCAATAACAAGTTCTCAAGTCGTTTAATGTCGTATAAGTGTTTTTTAAATTACTTCCACTCTTCAAGGTTCGATTGCTTCCGCAAGACATATCACGCTGAAGGATACTTTGGTATGTACCGTGGTTCAGGGGTGAATATATTGCTCATCACACCAGAGAAGGCCATCAAACTGACAGCCAATGATTACTTCCGACACAAACTAACCACCAAAGATGGCCAACTGCCAATGACCAGTCAAATGTTGGCTGGCGGTTTAGCTGGTGCATTCCAAATAATCGTGACGACTCCTATGGAGTTATTGAAAATTCAAATGCAGGATGCGGGACGTATTGCCGCACAAGCCAAATTGTCAGGAAAAACAGTGGAAAAGGTGTCTGCAACAAAATTAGCCTCACAATTACTCAAGGAGAAGGGTATTTTCGGTCTATATAAGGGCATAGGCGCGACAGGTGCGCGTGATGTCACCTTTTCCATTGTGTACTTCCCATTGTTTGCTACATTAAATGCGTTGGGTCCACGTCGCAATGACGGTTCGGGCGAGGCAGTATTCTGGTACGTTTATCGAATGTAGATATCTATTTTTTGCAACTCATTTGATAAATTTACAAATAATTTGCAGGTGTTCCTTCCTATCTGGTTTGGCAGCCGGCTCATTTGCGGCGTTGTTTGTGAATCCATTGGATGTGGTGAAAACGCGCTTACAGGCGATTAAGAAAGCGGATGGCGAGAAAGAGTTCAAGGGTATTGTAGATTGTATTAGGTGGGTAATAGTGAAATACAAATTAGCGCTTGCTTATTTCTTACTATGCAATTTTAAATTTTTATTTTTTTTTATACAAATATATAGCAAAACGTTCAAGTACGAAGGTCCAACGGCGTTCTTTAAAGGTGGTCTTTGCCGTATGATTGTGATTGCACCGCTCTTTGGTATCGCACAAATGGTCTACTTTTTGGGTGTAGCCGAGGCAATGCTGGGCTTAAAACAGAAGGATTAAACATGTGTAAACAATCAAACAATGGTTATTAATTTAATTTACTATATGTTTATATGTATGTGTATTTATTAAAGTTAAAAGTTAAAAGATGATTGTAAATTTAGCAAAAACAGCCAATTTATGTAACTAATGTTGTCATATTAGAGTAAATAATATAATACCATGGAACTGAACAAGAGAATTGCATGTACACGCATACGAATGCAAATGTGATGCATTTAATGAAAACTACTGTCCGTGCATAAACTATGTACCAAATAATTGTTCAAATTTGAATAAACTATGTACATACACACATATGTAACATATGTAAGTTAATTTAAAACGAGAGATACTGTGGTAGACTGTGCTCGCCATTGGGCAAGGATTTCTACGCCTTTTATTGACTAAATGCCGAGCGTATTATATAAAATATTCTTGCAGATTTACAAAATTTTTTTTACAAATTCTATTTAAAATATTTTATATGATTTAAAAAAGCCAATTAGTAATTATGCTCCTAAATCTGATATGCAAATGTATGTTAGAAAGAAAATTTGGACATTTTAATAGCGAAAAATGAAATAAATATGCTGCCTTTTTAATGTAATATAAACTTTTTAACAGATTTTAGGTTGCTCATTGAAGATTTTCTAATGTTTTATGCTTCATTTTAGGCATAGAAAACCGTTTTTTATATATTATTTTTTATTATTATTTACTTGAGGGAAAATAACTTTTTGCGTGCGTAAAACCTTGCTCTAATTAAATAATTAAAGCATATATTGGTAGAAATCATGCGATGTGTTATAAAATGCTTAGGCTTAACGTACATACATACAGTTCAAATAATACGGTCAATTCAAAGTTATGCTCATTACTAGTTATATGAATGTTTACGCTGAAAGAAAATTTTTGACCAAGGAAAGTTGAGACTCCAAGTATCTAGTATATGATCTCTATGATCAATGCAAAAGCTGAAAGTAAAGTTATTTCATTAAAGGAAAAGGAATAAATGTGTATATTTCATAAAAAAAAAATATAAATAAATTTTTTTTCAATTAAGTTCTTTCAATCATGCTTATATTAATATATCCAAAAGGCACATGAACATGCGCAAGGCGCAAATCAATTTATAATGACAATAATCTGCTATTGGAAGAAGAAGCCACAAGCTAACAGACAAAAAGTAATCGTGAATTTATGAATCAAGCTATGCTTAAACACATAGATACATACCTATATATCTAATATATATACTTCATCTATTAATTAGCTAGTTAAAATTAATATGAAAAAAAACTCCATTGATGTTTTCTTATGCTCTTGTTGTTTTCTATAAAATGCGTTTTGCTGTGTATACATTAGCTTAATTGTTTTGAAAAAGAATTCTGTATTGATATGCGATATAAGCAAACATTATAAAGTTTCAAAAAGTAGTTTCAGTGGGGTATCCATTTTCATGTGTTTATTAAATATACGAGTATGTATGTGTAAAAATTAAAATGGTTGTTTTCATATGAACTTATTGTTTTGTATTATAGGTATATACACTTATGTGCACACATTAATGTGGTTTATTTCTTACTAAAAGACGAAATCAAATCCGTACTACCTCTCTTAGTGGAACCTTAAATTTCGTTTGAATCTTAAATTTTTAGCATTTTTTATATACACTTAAAATATTTGAAGTTAAAAAAGCCACATTTTTGGTAATAATTTTAATTTAAAAACTTTATGTAGTATATCTTTATGGTATATATATATATATATTTGAGTTTATTAAGATTACAGGTAATAGTATAATCATAGTACCATACATAAAAGAGCAGAGTTCGATTCGCCTCTTCATTAATTTTGGAAGCAATTGAAAGTGTTTTTTTTTTTTATAAAATGCTATCTAATCACATACATAGATTGTATTTCAGAGGTGATACTGTACGCGTCGTCTTGAAACAAGTAAATACCTAAGATTCAGTAAGCACGGTCTTTGAAAATAGATAGAAGTGGATCGATTTCACCGGGGCAAGAAATATGGTTGTCAGTATACAAGTCTGCCGTGTTGAGTTGAGCGGAGGACGCCGTAGGTTCTATGCGAAAAGCTGTAATAACAATAGAAATCCCAGCTGCTTTCTTCAATAACAAGGAGATGCCAAAGAAACGCTGAGTCTTCAACAGTATTGAAGAAACAGCTGGAACTATGAGATTGCCGAATTGCATAGCAGAGGAAAAGGAATGTCTATCACAAAACGTTGCGTTCAAAGAAATCAACGTTTTGAGCAAAGATAACATGAGTTGAAGAGGGCTGCATTTGGCTCAAGCTTTTTTTTTTTTTGAAAATTAAACGACAATATGAGCCAATTTGTAAATAGTAGAGAGACTTTTACGGTAAAGCTGAATAAAGTAATCTGGTAACTGACATGCCGAGTCTATAGAATTAAAATTGGAAAAATTGTACTTGCTGCTTGAAAAGAGCAGAGATTCAATGGTTAGTCCTCAGTCGATGACGATTGTGTTCTGTACCTAAGCGGGGTTGACGAACCGATATAACAACAACAACAACAACAACAACATGGTCGAGTTAAGTCATACTTCTCCGCTTGATCTTTTCAACAGATTCTGTGTCTTTTTCTTCCTCTTTCGAAACTGTTATGTTTTAATCAATACACACAACTTATCCAGCGTAAAAATTGGTAGAAAGCACTTCCAAACGTTTGGTACCAAATAAGATTTGAATGGTTATCTCCTTATTCAGTTTTTTTTTACCTAATGCTGGGGAAAATGACCTTAGGTAGTCCAAGATATGTGAATGAGAAATACGTGTAGATATCTAAATACCTGTGTAAGCAATTTAAAAATGAAACTCTCCAGACCAACAAATACTAATATCTACACATAATCGTAAGTTGCTTATCATGCCCGTTGAATCGGTACTAGAAGTATTCAAAAGAGGCCTAGCTTTTATAATATATAATATAGCAAATGATACGGTATAGTTAAAATCACTAGATAAAAAAAATGCTAGTTGGAAAACTTATTGCAAATATAATAACACATTTGTGGTTTCGTTAATCATGTGTTTTTATTTAATTTTTCTCAATAACTATTACACATGTATTTTCAAAAAAGGGTAAACACTAACTACTCTTCATTTGTCAAATATCGGTTCATTTCATGCTTAATAAATCACCTAATCAGTTCAATTTTTTATTAAATAAATATTTTAATTTACGTACAATCCAAATGACTTCGGAGCATAGTGCCTTTTTATTATAACTATTATGAAACTGAGTAAATGGTGAGTGTATTAAAGCCTTAATGTATACAAATGTATTAACTTTATACCCTTCAGTTATTGTCTCTCCCATATTTGACACCAGCGGCCAAATTACTCCAAATATTTCATGTTTAATAAAGTCGCCGAATTTCAGTTAATATATGAAGAAAAATATAGTGTTAACATTAAATTATTAAGTCCATGTGAATAATGAATACATATAAACAGGTTATATACTGTTCATTGAAAATGTCTTCGCTAATTAGTTCGGAAAGAAAAAAAAAACTTATTTTTAATTTATCATATCACAACAATTCAATTTTCACGAATTCATTTGCAGTCATTTAAATAGCATCTGCCGGACGGTTTGTCGAAACGCCAGGCTCTCCATTGTCATTACCAGTATCGTTGCTTAGGTCAGCGTATCGTCGGCGCATCACACTGGCTATTAGTGAGCGATACCATTCGATAAATATTGCATTACGATAGGCAACTGTACCCATTTGTAAGATTATGAAACCCATAACCGTAATGAAGTTGAACATTTCCCATTCTAGCATAAATGCCATCCACCAAATAATTAGTACACGCAGCCCATCGGCCAGAAGTCGATTTGCTGAGGATGAATACTTGATAATTGTTAAAGATGTAAAATTATATAACGCGCTTGAAAAGATAAAGATAATTAGTGGTGCCCACAGTGTTGGATTACTGCGAAGTTGTGGTAAAACATCGCCAAGATCGTCGAAAACGCCACGACTATTATGATTCAGTGGCACCGGTGAAGGTAAGAAATTCAGGCATACACCAACTAAAATTGTTATTAACAGGCCGAAAACTCCTTGCCAACCTGTAACCAACATGGTTGGAATGTTCGTGCCTTTAAGGAATTTCTCTTCGTAAACATATTTGCCAGCATGGAAAATTTGTGCGCAAAGAACGAGCAAATTGCCAGTTAATACAGCATTACTATCCCAATTGGGTAGTAAAAAGCGATCATATCCGACACGCTGAACGTCAATGGATAAAATAACCATAATACCACAGCTGATAGTGAACATAGCCATCCAATGGCGTGCGGATAACGTTTGATTAAGATGAATGGCACTGAAAATTCCCACAAATATGAGAGCCGCAACTGAAAAGATGGGAAACCTGAACGTTTAATAAATAGATAATTAAATGATACACTTAGATATACATATGAATCAGGCCGAGGTGAGTTTCGATATTGAAGAAGTATTTCAAAAGGGGATATTTGAAATTTTTTTACAGCAAACAAACTAATTTCTTTTTAATTCTAAATTAAAATAAGTTTTAACATTAATAACTGTATACGTATAAACTGTACTTTAAAATTATAACTGAATGAAGTTTGTCGGCTACCTGAAAATTTTTGCTCAGTAGCATTATTCCCATTTTCCAATTTGAATATATGTTTGCATAAATAAAGATAGATTTTCGCTTTTTTACTATATAGCATTAAGAAAAAGACTTCCATTTCGATATATTTTTTCATAAATTAAAAATTCGTTGTATAGCTCCTTGACACTTTGAATGATTCATATTTGTACATATTTGAAATATTTTCCTTACCTCTTAGCATTTGAAAACTTGACACATAGGTCAAATAGAGACCTGTAAGTAGCATAATAGAGGCTATTACATCTAGCGCTGCAGGTAGAAAAAGGCGTAGAGGCGAAAGCTCGAATTCGCCTCTGGTCAGTATGTTTTCATCCTCAGCACTCATTTGCTGAAAACAAAAGATTCGAATAATTTCTTGACATTATTGACCATACCTATCAACAAATGTACATACGTATACATACTTCGAATCAGTTCACTTACCCCGCGCCGACGAAGGAAAGAGAATATGCCTTTATAGATGAAGACTGTGATAAAGCAAAGAAATTCACCTAGGAACATAAATGCAGTCTGCACAAGAGGGTGTTGGAAGCGACGCCATTTTCCATCGCTACATTCGCCTTCCAAAGTGTCACTCCACCTAAACAAAGACAAATTGATATATAATATTTATGACCGGTGTGCAGGAGATTAGCAACGATAAAGTATTATTATATTTATTTAGTATTATTTACGCAGTTACAATTTAAATATGTATATACTTACTTCAGTACTAGAACGTTCACTGCTCCCGAAAGAACATAAATAAGAGGTAAATACATTATTTTTACCTAAGGCGCCGGTTGATTAAAACAAAAAACACCAATAAATTTCGCAACAATTTGTAATGACTTTTTTTGTGAAATATTTGCACTAATTTAATTACTATGCCGTTCGTTGTTGACTTTTTGACAGTGCTTTCGCAAGTATTCGTAAAATATAAACCACAAAACAAAATAATAGAACTACAAATAAAATAAAAACACTGTCAAGCAATAACAATTGCACAGATAAAATACGTCTGAGAGTTGCCACTTAAAAACAATATCAAAAGCAGGGTTGAAATAAAGAAGGCACTTCTTATCTGCTAACCTCACAAGTATTTCAAGTTTTATTCGAACCGAACCGGAAATGAACATTAGAACGTTAAATCTAGAAGATCCGCTTAGACTTCCGAACGGCTGATGGATTATTACGATGGGCTTTTTTTAATTCTCAGCAATAGGCTTGGATGAGTTTATATTCTCAGCTGGGTGGCAAAAAATAAATTTTAAAAATTTAAACTTGTTATTCTAAACACTTGTGCCCCTTTATTTTATACGGCGGAAGAAATAGCTGAGTAGTTTGAATTGGATATTAATATTCGAAAGGCCATGGTCCGAGTTCTGGTTCCACGAACATCCGGAACGTGAAATAAAAGCGTCACATAAAAATTTATCGTCCGTTTGGAGGTGGTTTATGATAAACTGTAGTTCCTTCTATTTGAAAGAAAAACTTTCAAACTCGGAACTCGGCTGAGGGGCGCAAGCCACAACAACAAAAACACAATTCACAAGATTTTCACGTTGAGAAATAGAGAAGTAAAATTAATCCCAACGAAATGGCGGTCTGGTGCTTCAAGAGGAGAGGTTTGTTTGCTTTGCATCTAACTTATGTATTAGTCACAAAAAAAAAAAATTAAGAAAAAAATTAAACTACAAATTATTTCTGTCAAGCTCTGCGTTCGAAGAATGAAAAACTTGAATTCGCTGCCTATGCAAATATACCTTGGTCAATGCAAATTCACCAAAATAAAATTTCCAGTGTGAGTTGGATATGTCAAAACCTACGAGTTTATGTATTCCGTTTGTGTGCTTCGGATAACTGGAAGGAAGAACAAGCATTCATTAAAATTTCGATTTTGGTTTATTTTAAAGAACAAAATTCATTTATTTATTTCATTTTAAATTTATTTATAGAAGCATGGCAATATCACACGGTAGTAGCAAGAATACAAAAACAAAAAACCTATGTATTTTGTTTGTGTAATCATAGCTTCGAAAGGTCAAAAACGAAAATCGTTCAATGTATTTTGCTTGTGCAAACGAACGTTCGATATGCCAGAACCTCTTCCCCATGTATTCTGTTTGTGTAATTTCTTGAAAAGGAAAAAGAACAAGCAATCATATGATGTGACAACTTCACTTTCTATAAATTCGCCTTATATAGAAGTATACACTTGCAAGTTGCAACCTTGCACAATAGAGGCAAATCAGCAGAGTCGATTAAGTGAAGCAAATGCAATGCCGTTACTGACGCCAAGCGGTGACAAATTTTCAATTAAATACATGGCACTCTCAGAAGATAGGTTGTATCAGCTGGGTCGCTATGATTTTGGCTAGTTGCAACATAAAAAAAGACATTAAATATAAAATACAAAAATAATCACTACAAATCATATAATGTTTTATTATATTTCTATCCAATCATCTTCAAACATATCACAGGATTTTATTTTAATTAATTTACATGGTTTTTTAATTTATTTTTATGTGTTATTTAACTTAAATTGTAATTGAAAACTGAATGAATGATGTCCTCCGTAAATTAACGAATTGTGGAATTAATTTTCATGGTTTCACCTCCGTTTCATTGCGCCCGTTTTGACTGTAAAGGGAACACAGTGTGTCATATGAATAAATGCACGTGACAATGTTGAAAAATGGTTAATTAAACTCCACCAATTATTTAAATGAATATATTAAAAATTAAAGCAAAGATTAAACAACTTTTTTCTCACCTTTTGTCTAGCACAAGAAGTGTATTTATTGTGTATAAAATTTAATTCTTTTGTGTCATATTTTGTTATTTTGTGAAAAATGTTTGCAGTGCTTAGAAATTCTAACTCATCTATTAAAGCTCATCCCTTTCAAGCGTATATGTAACCTCCTCCACAGTGCCCAAATGCATAGTGCTATCTTCCGTTGGAGCGTTTTCCGCTTCCGTTCGGCGGCCATTTTGGTTTTGACGATTTGGCACATATTCAACACTATTCGTATCGCTGTGCACGAAGTGGTCCGAATTGGTTGCTGGTGTTGAGGGATCGGGACTTGTAAGTGTAATTTTGGAACCGCGAACAATTCTGTGTGTAGGCAAATTAGTGTATATTGTGGTGTTAAAGCCATACTAAATATTATTGTATTTAAATTTATTGTTACTCAAAGAGTGAGTCTAATATAATATGCAGTTTTATAGTCCACCTTTAACTTGTTACTTATAATGTTACGTGTCATGTGTATATATGTATGTAAATGTAAGTCATATGTATATTGTATGAAATACAATATATTTGTGTATATATTGATTTAAGCCACATGCTTACTCTTATTACATATATACAAAAAAACATATACAAATACTGTTATGTATACCTTATATACATTGCTTTTGTTTGCATAGCATGTAAGCGTTTTTTTGTTTATCTATTGTCGATGATGCGGGTTGGATCCTCGCAATTTTTGCGGATGTCTACATAATATACGAATTTATACATATATATATATATATATATTTAAAAATAAATTTGAAAAAATCAGCAAGATTTTCAGCATTGCAGAAGAAGCTTTTTATATTTATCTATGATAGAAATAGAAATTGTAATTTACCTGTCACGTGTCTGCATATTGGCTTCTACATCCAAATTACGTGGTTGACGGAAATCACATTCCAGCGAGAATGCCGAATCACCAGGTGTAATTAATTCCGGATCATTTTGAATGACAACAATATTGGAGTAAAGTTCACCTTCCTTCTGTGTTTGACATTGATCTAATTGGAAATTCATTTCCAAAGCACGAGCATCTTGTGTGGAAGGTTTAACAAAACAGGGTGCACTTTGCTTATAAAAACTGCCACGTGTATACATTACGCCAGTGAAGGGTTTTTCCGTTTCTAACATAACATTCATCGAATTGGAACCACATTTAAGATTGACCTTTTGTATGCCCTGATCGGAGCCTTCTATTTTGAAAGTGTCCGTTAAATCTTGTTGCCAGATTTCTGAAAAATTAGAAGAAAAATATTTTTTTTTGCTTGTTTTCAATAATCTGTCAATATTATATTTTACCACTCAATACCCATTTGCATTCAATTTTCAATATGTATATACATATTTGCATATATAATATAATTGAAGCTACAATTTTGTGAAATTGTTGAAAATGTGAAGTTTCTTAAAATGTTCAAACTGGCCAATTTTACTTTCTGTTGCTGCAATTAGACTTCAGCAGACCCTAAAACCGAATAAGTCGGAGTGGCTCCACTAAAGCTTCCTCTCTCATTAGCCGTGACGCGGGTTGGTTACCGCATATTGCACAAGGGTTGCTCACGTTTCCATTTTGCGTTACGTGGACGCAAGAGTAGGAATTGAGTATAGCCTCGCAACTGTAACCGCATACCCAGAAGCTTGACTACATCCCACTACTATTTTTATAACTATTTTCAAGTAATTTACAGAAATTAACTTCAACGTGGACACAGTGCGAAATTGTGATTTTTTGACAGCCAAATGCGTTGAATCAAATAAAAATCGCTTAGTCTGAGAGCACCTTTACTTGTATTAAAAATTTCTCAAAAATTAACACCAAGCTTTTGCTGCTTGAAGGAAATCGGCTTAGTGCTGAGATCGTAATGAATTAGAACTCATACGAAACTTGAATTTATAATATTAAATATATTTGAGATGGAAGTAAAACATAATTTAAAAAAGTTACATATATATGCTTTTTTAGCTGTTATGTGCATGAAATGCTACAATATATTAACTTTGGTTGGAAGTGTGTAAGTACCAGAAGGAGAAGACATACAAGTAGACCCATCAAAATTTATACCGATACTCCCGTCTGTCCGTTTGTCCATCTGTTTGTGCGTGAAGTAGTTCCTCAGTTTTTGAGATATTTCAACTAAACTTGTTACATTGAAACGATCATTTGCCGGAACTCAGATATGAGATTTTTGATTATAAATTTGTCCAGAATGTATCAAAGAACGTGTATTTGGTATTCTAAATACAAATGAGATTTAAACATTGTTGATGAAAGTTTTTGAAATCCGACGACTATAACATATGTATAGCTCTGATATATGCGATTTATTCAGACATGAAACTTTGGGCAAAACTTCGTAAAAAACATTGAATTCGGAATTTGTATCTGCAAATGAACATTAACACCGACAACGATCGAAATCGGAGTACTTTATCGTATACCCCCATGTAACCAATTCATTCGGTTATGTGGTTTTGGGTAAAAGAATCCGTCCATCTGAGAGACACCGAAAATCATCGAAAGCGGAAAACATTATATAGCCCCCACCAAAAAAATTTTTCAGATGTAAAAATTAATTAATTAAATATCTTAAAATGATACATCATAATTTTGATGTGGTCATAAAAATGTTTTTATCGATTAGTGTTTGTATTTTAATTTTTGGAAAATTCTTTCTATATTTATATTGTTAATTTCTTATCTACATTTTTTCAAGATATCATATATTTTTATTTTTTTTTTGATTATACAAATTTCAAGAATCGTCTACTGTATATGTGGTGGATGTCTTGAAGGAAATGGAAGGACCGGCAACTTATTCGAAGTCATATCCAAAACGGATGATGAATTTCTAAGAGATGCAGTAATTTCAAATCAAACGTATACACATTAGAAAAAATATTATTTTTTTTATTAATAATAATATTTAATTCAAACCAAATCCCACCGCATGGTTATACTGATTAGGTATATACATATATATTTAGTTTTTGTGCAATATTTCTACATAAACGTGGATTTCGCAAAACATATCTCGAAAGACGTAAAATAATATTTTCGATATTAAAAGGCCGAATTTTGAAACAAACACTGAAAAACCGAAAAGCCTAATTTAAGATCCTCAATCTTTGTCTTTTAAATATATGAATATTATTATTTTTTATAAAATGTAAATGTTGCACGAAACTTTTTCATATTAACACAATAGAAGTGCTCTTAAAAATTAAAAAACAGCTTTTTGTCTAAATCAAATCTTTAGGAACGTTTGCTTAGCTGACAGCAAAGTATTATGTGCGTATTTTTTTTAAATTTAGTGAACTGTGTACAACAATGTACCCATAACTAGAGAGCGAGACGTTTTATTGACACTTTCTTATATTTTGTTCTTTCTCTTTACTTTTCCATCACTTAAAATCCGGTTTAGTGCCATCAAAATTCTGTAGCAGAATATTTCTTGGCGTGCTCAACGATTATCAAAGTCGTTACACATATTCGCCATTTGCGTCACAGTGGCGTAGCTAAGAGCAACTTAACAGAACTTTCGTCTTATTACCTGCATTGCTTTGTGCTTTATTACTGTCGTCGCTGGAGACATTCAATACCAAGAGGTAAACGATGCTGACTGTAAGGATTATTGTACGCATTTCAATTAAGATTTTATTTATTTATATATTGATTAACACTTTTTCACTCAAACTGCCACAGTGTACAAAATACGCGCTAACAATTTACGATGCAAATAGGATTTTCTGTGATTTACTTATACTTTGTATTTCCCGTGACTACGAACTGCGCGCTTAAATGCAAAAGTATCAACTGAAGTCAAACGCGCCGGTTCCAGAGCATATAAAAGCCAACGTCGGCTGGCGATGGTACTGTTCACATTGCAAGAGTATGTATGTGTGTATGAATGACTAAACTACACTTGCTACGCCAACGGTGGACAGGTGTCAGTGGCAATATTTTTTTTTTGTTGATTGTCTTTTCCTTATTACGTTAACTATGCACATACATGGTTCAAAGAGAAAGAAAGAAAGAAAGAGTAAATTCAAGAAGTAACTATGCTCTAGGGTGTTACACAAACTCTTTTCTGTTTAGTGTGGAAAAAAGACAAGAAGACAGAGTAGTCAATAAGTAGACCTGTTTCCAAATGTTGTTTACAATTTCAGATAACCCACCGTGATGCGGACGTTTGCCGGTAAGTTATGTATTTATGTATTTATTTATTTATGTGCTAGGTATGTACATAAGCGAGCTTTGCCAATAATTAAGAAATGTATCTTACTTATTACATACTAGTTACATACTTTTCATAACATTTGCGCTAAAAGCAGACACGCTTGCGCTCATAATTTGCAATAACTTATGTATGTATATGGACGTATACTCGTACATATAAATACGTACTACGTACGTTTAGGTACGTACATACATAAATCTATACTAACTCTGTTCGGTGAGAAAGGTAAGTAAGAATTAGCCAATAAGAAAATTGCGAGAGTAAGATGCTTTATATATATATATATACATATATAATTGTATTGCCGCTTTGTAAACCTTAAAGCGATTTTTCTTCCGAGCTCTACCTCCAGTTTGTGGTTTTGCGTCTTGATGTTTTTCCAACAAATAGAGGTACCTACAGTTTATAGTAAGCCGCCTCCGAACATCCGATGGGTTTTTAAGAGGAGCTTATATTTCATGCCAGAAACACACTCCGAGGGCTGGGTATTCCCTGCCGAGGTGCGACGGCAATTAGAAAATTTAACTTAATTCTTTATTTAAATTAATTTTCCATAACTTTTGGATGTTGGTGGTACCGGGATATAGTCGCCACGGCCGTTTTACTGTCTAAAAAAATGTCTGCGTTCAATAAATATTAGTCAAGAAATAGCTGTTTATTTTCGCGTTTAATTTGAATCCGTTCATTTACATAATTGAAGGGTTTTCGAATAAAAGATGTTGTTTTGAATAGACTGTTATTCTGACAGATGTCACTTTTGAAGCCGTAAACTTTTAACATTTGACAAGTAAAAACTACGCCAGTAATAAAAATGGAACGATGAACGCTTTAGCAAAGCATTGAAATTATTTGAAATCATCAAAAAAAAATTTGGTGAAAGCCTGGCAGTGAAGTTTCGTAAAACAAAAACATTTTTCGGTCGTCATACAGAAATAGGTGGGAAAAATTGAGCTGTTGTGACAAGTTAGTGATGTGAACAATAAAACTTGTGCACGCCGCTCAAGAACAACTGTGAATATTGCTGCTGCAGCCCAAGTGTTTGGAATTGGGCCATCCAAAAATGTCATTACACCGTATTTTGCATAAATATTTGGGTTTTAAGATATATAAAGTTCAGTTAACACAAGAACTCAAGCCGTTTGATTATCAACAACGATGTGTCTTTGCTGATCGGATCCTTAAAATTCATGAAAATGAGCCGGAATTTAATCGAAAAATCATCTCGACTGGTGTGGCCCATTTCCACCTCGATAGCTACGTCAATAAACAAAACTGTTGCATCTAGGGCTTGGAAAATCCAAGATTTATTGTTGAAAAGCCTCTCCATTCCCATGGCATAAATGTTTGGTGTGGTTTATAGTCCGGCAGGGTTTTCGTATAGGAGGCTGAAGCTACAGATAGGGTGAATGGGTTGCGCTATCGAGAGATGATTAATGAGTTTATATGGTCGAAATAGATCTGGACAACGTTTATTTTCATCAAGACGATGCTACGGGCCACACAAGCAATGAAATTATCGATTTTTTCAGGTAAAAGTTTCTGGACCGTGTTATCTTTCGAAGAGTTGAACGCAATTGGCCACCGAGATCTTATGATCTAACACCTAGCGACTTCTTCCTTGCGTGCCACATGAAAATTATGGTCTACACCAACTGGCCAATGCCGATTCAAGACCTCAACGATGGAATTCGTGAAGTTATTAAGGGCATACAGCAAACACTTTGCGATTTGGTGATGGACAATTTCGGAAAAAGGACATGGTCCGGTAAGCGTAGCCGGGGCTGCCATTTGGCTGATATTGTTTCCCGTTATTAATGGTATGTCTTCCTCTTTACATTGAAGTAAACATTCGATTATCTATCGCAAAAAATGCCAATTTCAATTGAAAATCAAAATAGTTGCTCTTCTTAGAGATCTACATGCTTCATAACCGTCAACCCATTAAGATACCGATGTGTTCTTTCTGAAAAGACGAAGAATTATGTAAAACTTGCTTTAGAACAGTTTCAAGCTTACATTTTTAGGAAGAATGTTTGAAATAAGGTAATTAGTTTGGAAGTCCTTTTCGTGTAGACCAGTAATAAGGGGAATTTCCCTACGGGAAATTTCAACTTTCTCTCTAAACTAAACGCCAAAAGCGAGCGTTACTAACGCTGCCCATCGGGCCACCGATCAACGCTGCGGTCTATATACTTGTATTATCATTATTACAAAAAAAAAATTTTATTTTTTTATTTGCAATTTTTTCACTCGTTCACTGCCCTCGTTAAATTTGCTCTGTTCGGTGAGAAGTGTCAGTAAAAATTAGCCATCAACGAAATATTACAATAGCGTTTTCTTGGTGCAAATTTTACTGACTTTTTGTCTCAGCGCACGCGGCTTAGTAAAAATCGGTAACAATTGTTACTGCCCATCATCGCACCGAACAGAGCTATTTCTAGCATTTTCCTTACGCATTGGTATAATCAATTTACGTTTGCCATTTCATTGATGCAATCTCATTATAATTTTTTATGTTGTGCTAATTTTCCAATAAAAACGTGTTGGCCACAAAAAGTGTCAAAATGTCAAGCAATGTGTTGTCTTAAGGTGTTGTAAAGAGGTAGTTATTAGTAGCATTGCGTTGTTATTGGCAATATCTACAATTAAAAAAGTGTGAATAGTAAAATGGAAATGAACTACTCAATTTCTAATCGGAAGATCCAATTTGAAGTTGAAGTTGAAAATAAGCAAAAAAAAAGTGTATATAAAAAAGGTAAATATTAAAAGCAGAAAAATCTCTTTCCGCATTTCACGGCAGGTAATTAAATGCACATACAAACATATTAATATGTGTACATACATATGCACGTAAAAACATTGTATTAATTCCAACAAAATTTATCCGTTTCGTTTCACCTCATACCGATCATAGCATGCAATGGAGTTCCGCTGCATCTACTAGTTGGCGATTCGATGCCATGTGAATAAACTTTAAATTTGCGTTATGTACTCGTCTACAGTGTGATCACAATATAATGATTTTCTAGGTTTAGAGCAATTTTCGAAACCACCTGGGAGGGTCGATAATAAAAAATATACATTGAAGTGTTTTTCAGCCGAGCTGTTTCTCCGATTTGATCCTAAGTATGCGAGTACCAGAAGATGAAGAGATAGACCAATTAAAATTTTTACCGATATGATCATAATGACGTTTTGAGTTGAGTTGTGCGCAAGCTAGTCTCTAAGCCTTTATGATTCTTCAATTAAACCACGCCCGCTGGATTTTTCAAAATTATAATTTTGAGTCAAAAATCCGTGAAAAGTGCATCTGTGACACCGAAAATCATCGAAATCGGAAAATTTCCCCATATAGCCTTTTCCAACCGAGTTTCAAGATATAGATAAAATTAATAGTTAATTTTGAAATCAAACACCATAAATTGAATATGGTTTGGAAAGGTATGGAGACTTCGACATGGCGAAGAGAGCTCTTCTTTTTTGCTTTAAAGCAATTTTTATATAATTTTGGATTTCGGCGCCTATCGTGGAAGTACCCATCGCAAACCACCACACTTCTACGGACACTGTATCATTCAATCTTAGCATAGTAAATCATATTTCGATAGATCCAAACAAGTTACGTACATCACGTCAGTCCAAACTGATTTATCTGAGGAGCTATTCAAATGTGGCTCCAAAGAAATTACAATTTGAACCAAAATGAACTCTTCCACAATCGGCGCCAATCATCGTGCGACTAGAGGTTGCTAGCGGCTTCCTCAGCATGGAGTTCTAAGATGGTTCTAATAAGAGTTTTATTACGTTTCTATGTTGTTTCTTGTGTCATAAATGTTAAAACAAATGAAAAAGGAAGAAAAGTTTTTTACATATTAGTCTAGGCCAAAGAGCTACCTACGTACTATATATATATATATATATACACGTATGTATAGTTGGCGCTTTGTAACCGCCGAAACGATTTTGTTTTTCCAACAAATGGAGGGTTAATTCATTTATTTATATTATATTTCTATAACATTTGGATGTGAACCCGAGCCTTTCGAATGGCAGTACGCAATGCTAACCACGGCCGCGGCCGCTAACCTAAGCATCAAGCAAATCGAACTATGAATATGATTTTTCGAAACAAATATCAACATATTGGCTCTGGCAAAGAGCCGCCTACATATGCTCCACTTATTAAGCAAAATCGAGTCCTCGAATCGGCCTCTTTTCAGAGTTCATATCAATTCTTGGCAAAGATACGATAAATACAAATTTTTCGAATAATTTGATCCCGGATCCACATTTCGGAAGAAAATCTGTTCCACATGTCAGTTTATGCAAAGAGCTATCTGTGTTCCGATTAAACGATATAAAGATAAATTCGATTTTTTCGATTATCGGCAGCGTTTTTTAAGTCTCTAACGATCAATGGTGTAGGTTATGGGTTGATCCGATCAGTCAGTCAGGACAAAGCCTTTTATATAAGAAATAAATAATCATTCTCAATAACGCATATAAAATCTTATCGCACCCCGACAATTTCTCGAAAAGACCCGTGGAAAAGGATTGACATACACCTCATGCTGGGAAGAGTACTATGAGCTGCAGAACTGTCGAGTGAAAATACAATCTTCTTTAAACGTATACAACTGTACGCCGATGATATCGTCGATAGTTCTACTTCCTTTAGACTCCAGTTCAGCGAGCTGAGGTCTAGATCTTGTCACTTGTATTGACAATAACACTGTGAAAGCACAGGAGGAGGAAGATCTGCACTATGTTGAAAATAAATGATGGAGAAGAAGCTGATTTCACTTGGTTTCGCTAATAGATGTCGAAAAGAAGAAAAGAGTTGCGCGCTATGGCTTACTGGGCTATAATCACTTAAATATGTGATGCTCCAATTACGATGAGGAAGTAAAGTAAACTGTAACTCCACTTTATTTTCAATTAGGTGTGTTTTCTTGTATTAATGGATTAATTGCTTGCTGTATGAAGGTGGGAAGCTGAGCAATACATACATATTGTTGAGGTCATTTCTACCACGTTAAAACTAAGTAAATAATTGTGAATATTCCAATACATATAATCTCTGTAGTCCTACAGCTTCGTTGTGTCGAGGTTCCACTGTATGTGGCACATACATATGTAAAGTATGCAATTAACTGCATAAATTTATATATATATGCTTATTTACCTGCTATATATATATATATAATATGTACATACGTGTATACATACGTGTATACATGAGCGTCAATATTAAGTGTATCCATTTCTTCTTGAAGTTGTACAATACAACTTTTTTTCTTATACCATTTCTTTGGGTTTATTAGATAAAATTCGTGCAAATCGCTCCGCAAATCGTACTGCGTGCGCGCATTGGTACAACACGGTACAAAACTGTTGCACGTACAGGCCTACATACATGCATACGAGTACATGTTCATGTGACTTCAAATGTCGATTAGTTGCTGTGCCTACTTTTACCGCTTCTTCGTGTCGGCATTAAATGCCTATTAAGTAATTAAAGCTTACTTCCGATTAATATGTAAGTATAAATGTTCAAAAGCAATTTTTATGAATTTTCAATGGAGTGTAGAGTAAATAAACTATAATTCAACGGTAGCAAAAATAAAATCAATTTTATCCTTGTGATCAATGTACAACCTCTTCACCGTATATGTCAGTCAAGTTGTTCACACTTGATGGTATTGGAATTTCTTAAAAATTATTTATTATTAATTTATTAAGCAATTATACATTTATATTATTATTAATTATTTTCAAGTCATCACTAACTCATTTTCTAATAAACCTTTTTTTAAATCCTTTAAACCATTGATGAGTTTGTTTATATACGAAACAGCTGCACCCGAGCTCGCTGTGGTTACGTATGTTACTCATACGACCTGTTGATTTACATATAAAAGTACTAAAAAATGATACCGCCGAAAAACTAAAAGCCAAAATATAAATAAATTCTTTTATTTAGCCTCAATAAATAGAACTTGCATTGGATTGTAGGCTCTAAGCCCAAACCAAGTCTAGAATTACTCATTAAGGTAATCTAACCACCCAAACTTTCTAGCTAAAAAATTATTACAGCAGAACTATGCTAAGCGATTAAAGACACATTTCAACTGTGCCTAAGGGCTCTGCCGCATCCAATTATTCTACATCGGAGTTGCGTTCCGCATATATCCTTTATGATATTATAATTTACTTCAAATTATCCTATATATAGATATATATTTTTTCTTTCAATTTTAAACATGAGTGTTTGGTATCCCTAATGATATCTATATGAACACATTCTTAGATAAATTTAAGCTATTTTCGTAATTTATTGTACTTTGCTTACTTTGTCAATCTTTACAGTGGTAATGATTAACTTCTTCCAGGAATAAGAGCTTTGAGATTTTCGAAATTATTGTTAGTTCCCAAAAAGAAAGATTCAATAAAACATTATACAAAAAAAAATTAATTGAAAGTCGAAAGCCTGGAAATGTCAGGCGGGTCTAGGCGGGTCTAGGTGGGAAATATTTTTAACATTCCCCGGGAGCTCCAAGGCTTTTAGAATATATATATGTGAGTCAAAATTGAATATATTTAACTATACTGAATCGTACGAAAAGAGACAAAATGTAGCTTTGGTTGAAGCACTTGAAGCCTAACAAAATTTCCAACAGAACTATCTTATATTTGCCTGTGCTTTTGACATTAGATATTGTAACCAAGTTTATCGTTTTGACCGAAATTTCCCCAACGTTTAAAGCACCCATTTAAGAAAACATTTATTCACTCTTACGGTAAGAATTTCTGCTCTTTATTTACAATATGTGGGACTAAACTCCGAAGTATGCGCTAGCTATTAAAGTGAAAATTATCCCAATCGGACTACGTGGTAATGAGATATGAGGGATTTTAATTTGAAATCAATTAATCTTGTTTTCCTCTCCCACCTCTCTAGTGAAAATGTTGCCAACCAACCAACTGTTGCTGGACCACCTCCAAAATAAATCCAATTAAATACAAAAGGGTTTATCGAAATCGGACTATGCGACATCCATATATGCGGAAATATATATTGAAATCAATGAAATGGATAACTTATATTTTATGCAAATCAATAGCAGCCCATACGTTCCTTCCCTTCACAGTTCGGGGTCAACTGCAGACAAGAAGTGAAGTCAGCTCTTGTATAGATAACATGAATATGAAACTCGTTATCTCCTGAGAGCGCTCTAAAAGTACACATTAATGTAAATTTGTTGAAAACATGAATTGCTTTTCTGACGAAAAACAATGCGTTTCTTTATTGACTAAGTGGGTCCTGAGGCTTTTTAACGATCCTTCATTTGGATTTGTTACCAGCCCAGAAAAAATTATCGAGGAACGCATTTATCTGCAATTTGTGAGAGTTTTGTATCAAGTTATTTTTGGCTCTTCTCCACCCGATTTTTCCGATAAGTTTATCTTCCTTTACTTCTGCTTCCCTTAGTGGGTACAGCATCGGGAACTTTCGAAGCTGGAAAACATGAACTTGCCAGCGTAGCCGCCATAAATTAATTCCCTAAATTTTGTCATTGTCATCGTATAACTCGTACAGCTTTCAACATTATGCCATCGTCTGTCTGCGATATTCACCGCTGTTCGGAATTAGGAAAGATCCTTAGATCGTTCAAAAACCCTTTCTCTCGAAAACTTTTAGCGCAGACTCATCATGAGCTACAGATCAAGACTAGCAAATTCAGATGTATCGGCTTAGAGCCAACTCTTTTTTTTTCGTGCTGTCGAAGGCTGCTTTAAAATCAATATTGGATTTACCAGGTGTAAGGCCACACTGCTAAGCTCTAATCAATTTGCCGACTGTGGGCTTTAGATATTATCTGCCGCAGGCTGCAGGGTTTCTTCCTTTTTATGGATTAGACAGCACACACTTAGCGTAGAACATATTTTGCAAGAAAGCGGATGCATGCAACTGGTCAATTCTTCGCTGACATAACTGCATAGCTTGGCCGGCAACCCATTTGGTTTTACAGACAAGCAAATTTTTATTCGGACAAGTACTTCATTGTCGGGAATGAAACACAAAGGAGAAGACTTAATTATTGCGTGTAGTAAAAATTTATATTTATTTTCAAATATGGACAAAGAAAAGATCTTAGCTACATTTTACAAGTGAATTCGGATTATTTCAGTAAAATAACTTAGTTTATTTAAGGTGGCAACACTCGTCACTTATCCATGTATTTAGTTAACACACTTTTGTCTTCATACTAAATTATTAATATTTGTTGTTTTACTTTCTTGTGTTGTAGTCTTAATCATTACTTCTTCTTCATAGCAGTCCAATAAGTTTCCAATTCGTTGCCTTCCCAGTTGATAGATTTTGTGAAAACGCTTTGAGAAGAAATGTAAAGTTTTATTGACACGCATATATGTATGTACATTTGGAAGATAAAAATAATTTAAATTAAAAAAACATATGTAAGAAAGTTGCTATTATATTATTTTATATTTAGATAAATAGAAGTCGAGATTTAAGCTATTGTATTTATGTTTACTCAAAGTGCTCAGGCAGAGATGTCCTCTAACGAAATGCAGAATTTTTATTTATCTTAAATGAAGCAAATGGCGGCCACAAAGACCAGTGGTTTGAAGTACGTATTACCATCCGAAAGGTTGGTATTCGAATCCTAGTCCGACCCAACATTCAAAATTATAGAGAATTAATTTAAATAGAAAATTTTTTGGGTGTATGCATTAATTCGTGCGGTTTTTTTTCGAAAATTAAGATTCTATTGTGAAAAAATTATTTTAATCGTCTGGAAACCCGGTGCTTGATCAACTCCAAATACTTCTGTAAGTTCTTTTTGCGTCTGGCATGCATCTGCGTCGAACAATGCCTACAATTCTTCGCCTTGAAATTTTTTTGGCACGTTCGTTCGGCTAAAGCATGGTCACCATAAAAGTCCAGTAAAATAGATGGCTTTCTGTAGCACTTTTATTCGTGTTAAAGTAATGAAGAAGAACTCCCCGCAAAAGCACTTTATCTGGTACAAATTTCGACATTTTCAAATAAATGAAACATTGTTCACGGTAATACAAACGACATCTACTGAAAACGACGCGAAATGACAGTAAGAATAGATATGATGTCAACCTTAGTTTTAAGAAATAGCAGCGAGGAGACTCGTTGCATTAGAATGAGGCTCTCTGTGATCACCATTTTTTAAAGTAAAGTACTCACAACCTTCAATTTAAATACATATTTCTCAATGATTTTGACTTTATTAAAACGTCTTAAGATCTCGGTTAATGATGGGACACCACTAATATTCATAAAGCTGTCGCAGCTTTGACTTTGAATGGATGTCCTTAACAGCTCCTCACAAAAGATTGTCCAACGGAACCAAAGCATAGCTGCGTGTTACCCACTTGTATCATTGACTGTGCGGAACATCAACACATCGTCAATCTCTTCTTTTCCGGAAACAAATAATGTCTTGTATTGAAAGTATAGTATCGTTTCGACGAAAGAACAGACCAATGACACCCGCGGTCTACTTAATTGGCGCTTTGTAACCGCTGAAGCTATTTTCGGCCGAGCTCCTCCACCAATTTGTGGTTTTGCGCCTTGATGTTTTTCCAATAAATGGAGGGACCTACAGTTTATACTAAGCCGCCTCCGAACGGCTGATGGGTTCTTTATGAGAAACACTTATTTCCCGGTCTACATACCGTACCAAAAAGTTACTCGCTGAAGATGCAATGGTTTCTTAAAAAGTACGTGTGGGTTCTCTGAGTCCCAAATGAGTTTTGCTTGTTAACTTAGCCGCCGCGTTGAAAATGAGCTTTATTGGAAAAATGCTCATCTTCCTCTAGGTGATTTTCAGCACATTAGCAAAGCGAAATCCCATCGCATTGTCTTTAAGCTTCAGTTTTCAAACCAGTTGGAATTTATAAGCCTTCATGCCGAGGTATTTATAAAAAAAAAAATCCTACGAAGTCTTTAACTCCTCTGAAAGCTGACAATTTGACGTTGATGACTACTTTCGTGTGACCTGCTGGATAGCTGTTGGCCTTATGAAGGACTACAACTTAGAGCAACTGCTTTGTTTCTCTCTGAACTTAGCCAGTACTCGTCTTAGATATCTTGGAATTCTGCAGTTCAAAAGACTCGAAGAGAGAAGAGCTATAAGGCGACTACTTCAGATCGCAATAAAAATGATCTCCATCTGACATTACAGTGATCGACGAGTCTCTATGTAAGGCGCATCAGCCCGCCAGTATAACCTAACATCACCTGTAAGGATAGGCTAGCCAGGTCGGAGGTATATAAATTTCGGTTATATTTTTTCATTTCAAGTGTTGGGAAGTAAAAATTCTGGCATACAGTTATTGTAGTGGTGGTAAATATGGGGGTATATATATATGCACCGAATCTTAACAAGTCTCTTGTGTAGTCTATGAGATATTGTATATTAGGAGTATGCATTAATTTGTGCGGTTTGAACCGAAAAAAGCTGCTAATAAAGATTTTTAAGCAGTCAAATAAGTGGTTAATGGATTATTTGAATTTGTGTAGTTTTCAAAATTACCGTTGCTATCCAAGCCTAAGGCATAACATTGCCTTACAGCCATGAACATGAAATCTGTTCATGTGAAAAACCACCGATCAAAGACATTTCATCTTTTCATTATTTCTTGCTTCGTAAGCAGTAGTAGTATGAAGCCAACTATCACGCGCTCACTAGCCTAGCAGTTACATAACACAATTACTATGAAAAAAGTCAAAGACAAAAAAAAAACACTTCGGTATCTCAAATCACCTCATGCCATTATTGATGGTGTTTATTTCATATCCGAGTTGCACAATTTTATATCCGACTATAAAAATATGAAAAACTTGTCAGTTGAATGCGGCATTTGTACAACAACGGGCCACCAGATCAACCGGCCACTTAACCAGCAGCGTTGAGCCAACGTAACCATGCAACCAATCAACCAGCCGGATTTGGTCATACTAGTTACCTGATTCGGTTACCATGCACACTAATATGTATATATAGTATATACTCGTATGTATTAATGTATTTGCACTAGTTACTTACGTTTCTTGTAATAGTTGTAACACTTCCTGCTCCTTCTTCGACAGTCCATTGTAGTATGCATCCAGATTGATATCCAATAGTGTGCGTGTTTGCATACCGGTTAGGAAAGTGCTTGCGCCATCTAACTGCATAAAGTAGTACATGGCCAACTTGCCGAGTTCAACGTTAGCCTCCTTGCAAATATTGGACGCCTTCCGGCATATCTCTTTTATTTCCTCACCGGCTGGATGCCATGGTTGGGGCCCGTCGTTGGTTAGAAGGCCAAGTGCATGACCGGAAGCGCACACAATGCCCAAATTTTGTTGTTGAAAAAAGTCCATATATGATTGCAGGGAGTCGTCCAGTAGTGTATAACGTGCATAACTTAATACGGTCTGTGGGAGTGGGAAATATTGATTAATTATACAAAACTGGCTCATATGGGAGTTTTGTAAATATACTCGAATATATGGATAATTACCTGAAAACTACCAGGTGCCTGCTCAATGCACTCTTTCAAACATGATAACGGATATCCGGTCACTCCTATAAATTTTGCTTTTCCTTCTTTTACGATTTTCTTCAATTCGGGCAGACATTCATTTATTACAATGTCAAGATCTTTAGCGAATTCGATGTCATGTATCTGAAATGAGTTGTATTCATTTGTATGGATTAAGGTACGTTTAATATTTCAAGTTGAGCGAATTTTCCTTATTTAACTTGAATCGTCTGTATTATGGTTATCCCACCAGGCAGAGTAAATGAGCTGTCTTGATGAGCATTGAACTGAAGTTAATTACAGGAGAATGGTTTTAAGAGAGCATTTAAAGAGCGCTCATTGCAATCAGGATCAACATTTGGAAAATCAAACCTTGTTATGTAGAGTTTGGTTCAAAACCATGTAGGCCTTACAAGGCATGCTGTGAGTAGTACTATTTTGGAAGTTTTCGCTTTATAATATTTTTATGAGCAGTTTTTATATTGCGACGGCCAGTTTCCACGGAGACCGTGTACTATATGACATCGTAAAGGCTCTTGAAGGCAGCACTACTTCAAATCAGTGCTTGCAGGAGTGATCGATACGATGTTAATGGTAACAGAAAGCAATTTATCGTAGTTTTAAGCACAATCGGACAATTATCAGTATATAAGGCCAGCAAAAGTCCTTCTGATGTTTAGTCGAGCTGTGAAGAGTGTGAATTAAGCATATTTTTTTTTGAGTTTGAGAGAGAGAGAGAGAGTTTAGATCAATCCATACATATCCCTCAAAGGCACAATGTTGTTATAGTGTAAAATCCAACCTTTTTCGAGAACAACAAAGTCTTTAGTACAGGTGGTTCTTAACCAAATGAGAAGAATTCATATTTCGCAGTCTGATTGTCAAACATTGTTTTTTTTTTATTATGTTGGTATGCTTGACGGTTGGTATATCGTAGTGGGTAGCAGTGCGAAAGGGCAGGGCTCGAGCTTTATAATATAGAATTGTTTTTTGTAATTGCGTTCGCCTTTCCGCAGGAAATGTCAAACCCTCCGAGTGTATTTTTGACATGAAGTAAAAGACCCAGCACAACAATAATCGATGAAAACGCCGAAAAAGTTAAATAAATTCTGTGTTGACGGTTCATCGCCGAATCACAATTAGAGTAGCCGCTGATATTGATTGGATCATGCTATGACATTTGTACAATGTTTTGGGTGGCAGCAAACTTTTTTCCAAAATTGTTGAATTTTGAACAAAAACAGGACTTACGAGATGAAGCCAGAATTACTGGAGCCTATTATAAACAGGTGATGAAACACGTCGAAAATAATATTGTAACGATGCCTCAGCATCCATGCTCTCCATGCATGGTTCCGTTTGAAAAATGAAGCAAATTTTAATGCGCCGTCGTTTTGCAGCCGTAGGTGACATTGAAGACTCGTCGCTGAAAGAATTAAAGCTATCTCAAAGATCGAGTTGCAGAAGTACTTAAGAGATTGAAAGAAGTTCTGGTGGTACATGTAGTCGAATAAATAAAAATTTTCTTCAAAAAATTAAAATTGTTACTATTTTTTAACCCATTTCATATGGATCTCGGAAAATTGCAACACTTTTTAGCACCTGTGGCCGTCGATTGCAACCTTGACCCAACTTTTATATATATAATAGGCGCTTTGTAACCGCTGAAGCGGTCTTAGGCCGAGCTCCTTCTCCATTTTGTGGTTTGCGGGTTTTTCCAACAAATGGAGGAACCTACAGTTTATACTAAGCCGCCTCCGAACGACTGATGGTTTTTTATGAGGTGCCTTTTCATGTCAGAAATACACTCGGAGGGGTTNTTAAACAAGGTGGTGGAAGAGAAAAAACCTTCGAAGATGAACAACTAGAAGCATTGCTTGATGAAGATTCATGCCAAACCCAAGAACAGCTTGCCGAATCTTTGGGAGTAAGTCAGCAAGCCATTTCAAAACGTCTCACGGCCCTGGGCATGATTCAATATCAAGAGCGACATGACAAAGTCATCCTCCAACACGACAATGCTCGGCCTCACGTCGCAAAAGTGGTCAAAAAGTACCTGGAAACGCTGAAATGGGAAGTCTTGCCCCACTCGCTGTATTCCCCAGATGTCGCCCCTTCTGACTTCCACGTACTCCATTCGATGGCACACGGCCTGGCAGATCAACATTTTCATTCCTTCGAAGAATTGGAAAAATGGATTGCTTCATGGATAGCGTCAGCGGGGATCCGAAAACTGCCGGAAAGATGGGAGAAAGTTGTCGCTAGCGAAGGACAATACTTTTACTTTTTTTTAGCTTTTAATTTTGGAAAAAAAAACGCCGGGAGCACCTGACACCAGATATTACTTAATTTTTTATTTAAATTAAATTACTATAAGTTTTGTATGCTGGTAGTACCAAGTCTTTAGCCCGAACCTTCCGAATGGCAGTACGCAGTACTAACCACTCGGCTACTGCGGCCGCCTGCCGCAACTTATATTGAGCATTCAATAACGTGATGTTATCTATCGACTCTTCACTTTGGTATTACTTTATTTTCAACAAAATTATTTGATTTCATACACACCTGTATAATGTCCACATAGTCAAGACCAAGTAACTGCAAGCTCTTCTCTACGCTCTCCCGTGTCTTTTTCGCGGAAAAATCAAACATCTTTGTTAAATCCTTCTCATACCGTCCAACTTTCGTAGCAATGTAATATGCCTCCCTCGGTATGTCTCTTAAACCCATACCCAACACCTCCTCCGAACGTCCCTGCCCATAATACGGTGCTGTATCAATATAATTAATACCGGACTTGACAGCTTTATGTATGGTTTTGATCGCTTCATCTAAATCAAGTTCACTGCCGGCGAATGAGAGAAATCACAGTAAAATAAACATAACATAAACATAAGAGCAAACAAAAACAACAAACATTAGTCTATGTTTATACGATGGAGCATTTTTATGTTTGCGGAATGAGGGATAAGAGGCGGAAGTAGTTGAAGGATGTTGGAGTAGGTGAGCCTTCCGATGATGATTCAAAATATCGAAGCCCAGCTTTTACAAGGCTGCCCGCGCAACGCGGCTGTTGAGAAGGTACAAAACCAACACAACTTTCTAAAAACTTCCCCGCCTCTTCTATTTAATGACTTACTTTAGTCGTTCTAATAATAGAATAGAGTCGATCAATAATATTGTTTCCGAAACACAAAATACCTTTCACATGCGTTTTCTCAGTTCAACAATTCGGAGGTTCTGAGCCCTTTTTATATCACTGCATAAAGTCTTGTTTCGACTCAGTTTCATAATGATGAACTCAAGTTTCGTCTCTAGTAACAACTCGACTCAATCCACCATCCTTCTCTTCATTACAGAGGTCCAAAAAGGCAGATGAACATTCTACATACTGTTGTTTTTGTGAAGGCGTGAGCAGGAGCTTGAAAATGGTTGTATCTAATAATCTAAACATTTCTGTGAAGTGTTTCTTCTTTAGTCGATCATGGTCGAGGATAACTTTTCCAACTTTCTGAATAAGTTCTGGCATGTTCACCTCGATGCTCCTCCATGGCTATTGGTCGTCTTCAAGGAATTCGCTTTCTTGTTTAAGTAAACTGTGCCACTTGTACATGATTTTTCCCAGAAATTAGTTACCAGTCACAACTGATTTTCCTTGCTCTTTCCATACTTCACTTTCCACTCAAGATTGAGACCTCATTTTTATATGAGAGACCTCGTATTTATATGAATGAACCTAGTTACCTCCCTAAAGTCTCTCATCCCGCGAACATAAAAACGCGCTCTCGTATGTATAATAGGAAAATCGTTAGATTACAATGAATCAATCTTCATCTAGGATGCAACCCTTATCAGTACTTATGTGGTAGAAGGTGATAAAAATTGTATAAAAAGAAGAAGAATTCTATTTGTATATGTAATTATGTGTGTTTATGTATCTAACCCATAAAAATCACTTAAAGTGCCCGTGCCTAACGCCACTTTGGATACTTTTAAGCCGGTTTTGCCGAAAGGATAATATTTCATACGCTGGCAGAGTTCTTCATTGTGGAAACCCTTGACAAAGGTTGGAGGAAGTGTTGCCATAATTTAACTGTTAAAAAGTTTTTTGAAAATATATAACACAATTATAAATCACTAGATGAACTTTCAATATTTTGTATTTTACGTCTTTTTCACAACGAAGGTATCGGTCGACTGAGAGCATGAGACTTATTTGTATACAATTTTCTTAAATAAAAACAATTCATGTATTACAATACATTGCTTGGAATGAGTATTTACATTGTGCTCACTTTATCAGTTCATTATTTTCAGCTGTTGGTGAGCACCTAATTGAGTGCCGAGAATGCTCATATACGTGTAAATACCATGGTGTTATTCCCCCCAGCAAATGTCACATATACAAGTGCATGTGCATACCAATGATTTACTGTGACATACTATATATATATATATTTACATATGGAAATATATTTATACACTCATAGGTTACACTTGAAACAAAAGATGAGGACAAAAGCGTTAGTGATAATAATTTTTTATCGACATTAATTCCAGATTTTTTATGATCGTCAATATTTAACATTTCGACACCACAATAGCACCCCAGTTGTCTTGTGACTTGTTTAAACCAAGTACAATTTGACTTTATCCTCCCAACAGAGCGAAGTTGTTCCTATTTTTCTGCTCTCATTTAAAAAAAAAAAAGGAATTAATTGGCACAGCTAAGAATCGTATTCTTTCAAAAGTTCTAAGGCCAGCTCATGTGATATTATCAACGGCAAAACTTTGTTTACCTTTTGGACTATGACTTATTGAAGTTTACAGTGAGCCTTCAACCGCAACTGCAAGGCGGTTGCACGGAATTCGGGCGAAATAACTCGTCTCGCAGGCAGTTTATGGGTCATTATGTTTATGTACGTGCTCTGTCTCTACGTTCAGTAGAAAATTTTGCTGCTATAGTCAAAGTGTGCGAGCAGAACTCAACATCAACTCGGAACCGTTTGCATTAATTAAGGATTTCGCGCACTTCTTTGCACAGGTTTTTGTATAAAGTTTCGGGTATGAAGACTTATAAAGTCCAATTGTTGAAAGAACTAAATCCGCATGAGCATTCGATGCGATTTCGCTACGTTCAATGTGCTGAAAATCGCTTGGCAGAAGATGAGCACAGATCACTCGCTAAGGCAATACGGCAGCATTTCACCATTCCCTATGCCAATCTACACTCTGTTAATTCTAACCTAGCAGCTTTTTCTTCTTTATTGACACCGTGGACACCGCTTACGTGATTATTGCCTAGTTAACAACATCGCGCCTTACACTTCTTCGTTACGCAGTTTGGAAATACCATCTGGTCTTCCTCTTCCTCTGCTTTCACCGACTGCTTTGAAAACTTTCAAAGGTGGAGTATTCTAATCCATTTGGAAAACATGACCCAGCCAGCGCAGCCGCTATTTCTTGGTGCGCGTAACTAGGTCAATGTGGCCTCATCATTCTATTCCTCGTTCCCAACTCGTAGAGGTCCATAAATCTTATGCAAAACCTTTCTCTCGAAAGCTCCTTCCGCCGGCTAATCAGATCTTGTCATCGTCTATGAATCCGTAGCGTGTAACACGACGGGAACGTTTGTCTTCATTTACTTTTCAAATTCCTACTCAGTCCAAAGTGGCATCTGTTGGCAAGTATAATTCTGCACTGGATTCCCAGATTGGTATTGTTGTTGATGTTAATACAAATTCCAAGATAAACGGAGTTATCTACGACTTCTAAGTTAGGACGCGAATGCGACGACTGTTTGTTTGAAAAAAGGAAATATTTCATCTTACTCTCGTTCACTACCACACCCATTCGATTTGCTCTTTATCCAGTCTAAAAATAGCAGATCTCACGGATCGGTTGTTGAGGCCTAGCTAACGAAAATGATATATCCCTGCAAAAAAATACTAAATCCTCTTCTGCTTGGCCGGTAAGCTAACTTTGCTGCCTCAGAATAATTTACTGTCACGCTCTACATTGGAAGTGCTCCATGAATTAAAGTGAGCCCTCATAGTCCACTGCGATAGGTGTGGTACTGCAAGAGGAGAGTTATGTTTGCCTTGCGTACAAGTTAAAAAATAAAATCAAAAACGGAAATAAAACATTTAAATGCGCTGACAAGTTGTAGCCACTCATTTGAGTAACCCAAGTGATGTTCGTGTACTCGCCTTAAATTCACACATTCTCTGCTTGGAGGACAGAGTGGTATTCAATGAGTTTAAGCCTGTTTCTTTACAGCATCACTTTTTAGGCCCATACTCTCTTACCGATGGGCTAGCCCAACCCGTTCTTCTCTGCTCTTTTGAATATTACTTAGTTGGTGAGAGTAGAGAACTATTTGCTGAGAGAATATTCGTGACCGAACACGCAAAACCGACAGCACATTCGTGGGATAAATGCGTAATAAAATCGAGTAATGAAAATTTACAGACGAAGGCCAAAGAGGGTGTTTGCTAGTGTGAGCTACAATACACCTTAAATGAAAAATACCAAATTATCAATCCACTAATATAATTCTCCAAATTTTTTCGTAAGTTCTTTTTTTTATTTAATTATGTTCGCGAATACAAACGTTCACAAATCGGTTTAATAAATTTAAAAACAATATAATTTATTTAAAAAAGGGTGTATTATATATGTACGTGTATGTATGCATTATATAGTATTGTATATTCGAATGTATAAATCAAAATAAAAAATAATTAAATTTTTTATTGTGGTAATAAATATATAGAGGAAAAATATCGCAAATTTCAGCTTGGTAAGCAATAACTGCTTAAAGCTTTTCTAGGAGAATAACTCTCATATTGTTATTGCTAAGTCTGTGTCTAAAAGAACAAATCACCGAATGTGTCCAAGTGAGGTTGATATGATGGTTGTTGTGGACGGTGCTGACGTCTTTGTGGAATTAAAATATCGTTGATCTCGTGAACAATACCATTTGTAGCGATCGCATCACACTTGGTCACACCAGCATTTTCGATCTTCGGACGGCGGTCACGTGTAATGCGCAAATGTGCACCATTCAATGCTTCGATCGAGCGCACAAATGGCCAGTTTGTCGGTATGATACCAGCGCAGCAGACAACATCGTTGACAATATGTGTCTTGATCAGGTTCTCCAATTCGGATTTATCTTTGGTTAATGTGGTTTCCCAGTCTGCGACTTCTTCAAATACATCATTCTTTGGCACAAGTAGTGTGTAGCTGTCGTCGGCATTTGATAAAATTGTGGTTAGATTAGCGGCACGTACCAGTTCGAGGAATTTGCTATACATGGGGTTGGATTCCAAGAGTTGCAATAGATTCTGCAATTTACCCATTCAAGAAGTTAAATAAATAAATTTATTACATAATTTTCTCCGCTATTTGATTGCTTACCATTTTTGGTGCCACAAGTGGTTTGTCCACTTGATGCAACACTGAGCCACAGCTTTCATCGTCGAAATGAACCAAACGAGCACAATTGACGGTAGCACGATTCATGACATTAGAGAAGAGCGCATGTGTGGAATAGAGATTGATGCGTACTTCGGGACCAGCAACTGTTGGCAGTGTAGAATCGACTAAGTCACAAGTCTTGGTCATCGGCTGCACCACATGATAGTTAAGGAATTCAATTAATTCTGCATTATTGCTCAGTTTCTCCGGTGACTCTTCCAAAAGTTGAGGCCATTTAGTGCCTTGTAAAGCTTTGTCGGTTGGCGCAAATACAGTCACATTATCCATGTCATCATATTTATTATCCAAACCAGCGGCTTCAAGTAAACGCTTAAAGATTGTAACATTTTTCTCTTGCATCAGCGTCGATAGCGGTAATGCCGATTCGGTTGGTAGAATGGTATCAATCACATGTAACACGCCATTGGTGCCCATTATGTCTGCTTCAGTGATTTTCGCAATGCCATTGATGACTACCGGCTGTTCACCAACTAAGTCAGCAACCTCCGACTTGCCAGCGGCCGATTGGCTGCGATTGAAACGCATCGCTTCACCAAGCAAGTTGTAGGCGGTTGTCTTGGCACCGGGTATGGAAGCAACGGAACAGAAGGTCAAATCGAGAATGTGATTCTTAAGAATATCTTGAAAAAGGTATGGAAAAAGAAATATACCAAAATTAGTACATCTTTTTTGTGATAATTTTTATTTTTTATTGCTTGCTGCACCCCCTAGTTTTTCAGCCCAGACGCGGACTTTTAAAAATGTGAATTTATCAAAAAATCTATAAAGATGTTTTGGTCTTATATTTTCTTTTAGACTACAAAAATTAGAGGGCGATTCAAGGCATGTTTGTTACATTGAACTTACTTGCACCACAGCCCTTGCCCTCTTTGAGCGCTCGTCGCAGATGTGGGTCTACCTTATCGAATGCATCATCCGTTGGCACAAAAACGGTGACTGGTTTCTCACCCTCAAGCAGTTTGTTAAGCTTGGTGTTCTCTAGTACAGTGCGCATAATGGACATATCAGCGCGTTCGCGTATCAAGTCCATAACGTTCTTTGTCACTGGCTTCATTACACCGTCCACAGTGTGAATCAAGCCCTGCTCGGAGAGTTTATCATGTTTCTCTATTGGAATGCAATTGGCTGTGAAACGGTAGGGTTCACCACCCAAAGCAAGTGGCACTTCGAAGGCATTTATGCGTATGGACTGTTCGGGCTGTTGAGTTTTTAGCAGCTGATCGTTTTTGAGGTCATACAAACTGATTTCACCATCAACAATGTGTCGCTTGTATAAGTTCATCATTGCGCCATCACCCTTAGGCTCAACAGCATTCTACGAAAACGTGTTTGAAAATTAAATTAATCTTCCTCAATTCATTGCATGAGTACATAACATATGTGCGAGTATACAAAGATATAATATTTGTTTTTATTATATTTTCTTGCTTAACTTACATTTTCGCTTTGCAGCTGATCGATGTAGTTGTTGAAGGCAGCATCCACTGGCATGAAGATGGTCACGTTTTTGTTTGCTAAAACTTCACCGATGCCAGCGTTCTTCGCAGTTGCCACGAACTCTTTGGCGCCCATGTCGGCTGCAGTTGCATCGATGTTTTTAATTTCCATTTTCTCACATGGAGTTGCGAAGTCAGCATTACGTGGACGTCCATAACCATGACAACACTGACGTGTTATTGTGATTGTCTTCTTCTTGCCATTCTGGTTAATGCTGTTGCATGTGAAACGGGTGTATGTGTGTATGGGTTGGATAAAAGTACAAAGAAAAGAAATTAGATTAGTTATGAAGAATATATATATTTATTGTTTGTTGCTCAAAAACAAAAACAAAGAAACAACGGTGTTTGGATTGAATTTAATTTTTAATTCAATAATTTGATTTTTTGTTGTAGAGACAAAGGAATACTTACACACGCGTGCAGACATATTTATTTGATCTCTCAACGCATGAGTTAAGGCTGAATTGGAATTGTGCGAAGTTTTGTGGTCTCACATCAATGCTTTCCGAAACTCCAGGTGCAAGTTCCTCTGTTCCATTCACGTCAGCTTTTGGATCGACAACTTTTTCATCCTCTTCCTTGTCAGTACAGACGTTTGGACTATAAGAGATAAAAAGATATTTATTTAAATATTTATTTAAAATGTGTAAATTCTATATTTAAATTTTTTTTTAACTAAATAGATATGGAGTCTGACGATAAATACTGTTTTTTTTTTTTTGGAAACTGAACAACACGAATTGTGGTTCTTGCTTTCCCAAAAAAAACCCACACAGGGACGAATGAGAAAATTTTAATGGTCTGAAGAAGAGTGTCTTAGCCATATTTACTCATGACTCAAAACTCGATGATCCTTGCTGAAACTATCAGATCGCTGCAGCACTTAACGTCATAAATACCCAGACAGTATATGGGCTTAACCTAAGCTGGCTCTGCACAACGAACCGTCCAAGTAGCACTGGATCTGTCAAAAGCCTTTGATACCGTCAATCATTGAGTGTTACTATCTAACATTGAGGATTTCTCCTTATCTCCGGAGTTGCACAGATGGACTATGAACTTCCTATGTAGTCGAGAGTCTTCGGTAGAATTTCGAGGTCAAACATACAAACTCTGTTATTTTTAATCAAGCGGTTCTGTTAAATTTTTCCATAACAGAACTTTCTTCCCCACTAGAAAGTTTTTCATTGATCTCATATGCTCGATATTGGCGTCTGACCAGGATACTGATAACTTATGTTCAAAAGTGAATTGCTATCTCGTCGACATATCTAACTTTTACGACAGCTACGGTTACAATCTGCAAAAGGCTACCATATTCACCAGCTAGACGAAGGGTACAAGCTCGGATTCGATGTGAAAGTCAATGACGTAAAAATTCCAACAACTAACAACAACCCATAAAGCACTCTGCACCCCTTCACCTTGAATACTACTATAATTGTCACAAAATCGTTAGACGTCAGCACTATGGCAAAAAATTAAGAAACGTTGCTCGCAACGAACAAGTCAATTGGCCGGCCAGCCGTAAATTACGCTGTTCCGATTTGGATACCGTGGGCTAACGATACGCAGATGATAGAAGGTACAAGCATGTCAAAACAACGCGCTCAGGACCGTGTCAGGAAACTTTCTGACATCATCGGAGCACCACTTGCCCAATGTAATATCCACGCTACGAGTTAAGAAGAGTTACTCGAACCTCCGCCTAGGCACATCACGAAAGGAGTTCTAGACTACACAAACTCCTTTCCGAACCATAAGAAATAATAACTGAACAGGACCGCGTACCGACAGGCCATTCACGGAGACTCTGTCAACACTTTCATGAACTCACCACCACTTATTGCCGACGAAGAGCTCGAGTTGCCTCGAGAGGGTCTCGAGTGATACTGGCACAGTATTTTAAATCTGGATATGGTAGTCGAATTAATTCCTAGAGTGTGTTCTGCATGCAATCAGACCCCGTATGAAGCTTACCCCCCTTTTCATTACTCTTAAAGCCAACTCATCTAACTTCCCTGTCAATCTCATCACAAAGATATAGCAAGCATGTGCAAGGCGTATGGCTAGCCAGTGGAGGGACCATCTAAATTGAGATGAACTTTGAATTTGACTCTGCCCTGTCTCTGTTCACATCAAAACACAATGAGATAAAAGCTGGCCTTCAGTAAAAAAAAAAGTTAATATCAGACAACTTAATAAAACCACATGCAACGTGACAAGACAGATACTTATAACCTGTATTGGATTATAAAAGGTCAAGGCGTTTAATTCTTCTTCTAGACACAGTGATAAATTCAATAGGGTTTCACGGCATGAGAATTGTACGCAATTATAATTATTCTTAGGCGACTGAAGGGACGAAGACTAGAAAGAGTGTGTCGAACTCCACCTCTGTCTTACTGTCTTATTGTCAAGCCATAATCACTACACGACATCAGTTCCAACAGATCAAGATTTTTAAAGTTCTGTTGTTAATGCGACTGTCCCATATTTTTGGGGCGAATCTAGGATTTGTTTTAAAAAAATTGAACAGCTGTTCGTAGAGATGCAGGAACTTAGAAGACGGGTGGTGTGTGAAATTCGATTTCACCAGCTCTTGCATTTTCTTTCATGGCAGTAAGGATGGGGAAATAAGAGATGCACTTGGTTTTTAAAAGAAAAGCTTAACCCAGCATAAAATATATTTCCAGTGTTTTATTAATAAAACTGTATAACGTATAAACTTATATTGTAGATTGCCGGACTGACTTCACCTGTGCAATAAAATCAATAAATTATATTTACATATATAAATATATACTTAAAAATTTTGTATTAAACAAGTTTAAACTTATTAAAGGCCTCTCCTTTGGAACATCATTTGCAAAAGTGCATAACACGAATTTATATATATATTTTTTTAAATGAATAAATAAATATTTATTACCTACATACAGTAAACAGTAAATATTTAAGACAGCTTTTTACTCTGAATAAGTCTGCTAATTGATATGAACGGAGAATAATTGCAATGAATAATTAATTAAAAGATGTTTAGAATAAATGAAACGTAGCTAAAAATGTGTATGTACGTGCATGTCTGTAGACAAACGCTTCGAATCATTACATCTTGTAACGATCAAATTATTCAAAAAGCTTCTTTATTATTTAGCTTATACTAATAGTTTATTTAGATCTGATCTACTTTTCAGACCATTTGATTACTCACAACCGGTGATTACGTAAGTTGCTGTTTTTTTTTAAATAATTAGCTTTCAATTAGTTATTTCAGTGCAAATGTTTGTATGTATTAGTGTTAATATTTGCAATTTGCGATGTATATTTTCAGTAACATGTTATGCCAATTAAATATCAGATTCTTAAATACATATACCCATAAATATAAATGCCTTTAATGACAGTGTAAATTGTATTTAATAAAATAAATTTATATAGAAAACGAAATATATATATAATATATATATATATATATATATGTATTTGTAACAGTATGGAATAAAATAAAGCAAAATAAAATAAAATCAACAATTCAAAAATTAATATAAAAGAAAAGAAGAAAATTAAAAAAAAATAAACAAATAAAAAAGTAAAATAATAATAATATTTACATAATATGGTATACAATAATATATGTCAAACTAATTAAAAATTCAAAATAATGTAAAATTAAATATATTAATATCAAATAAAAAAGTCAAATAAATCAAATAATAATGCAAAAAAATTAAATAAAAATAAACTAATTAAATAAAAAATAAACGCAATAAAGTAAAAAATATACAATAACATAAAACCATATATGATAGAAAATAAACAAAATAATAAAAGAAATAAAGTAAAATTGTTCAAATTAAAAAACTAGATAAAATGAAATGGAACAAATTAAAATAAGATAAATTTAAATAAAATTAAATCATATTAAGTAACATGAAACATGAATAATACAAAATAAAGAACTAGAAGTTAAAGAAAACAAAATAAAAAACTATGTAAAAAGCACAAAATCTGATAAAATAAAATTTAATAAAAATTAAATGTATCAAAGTGAAATAAAATAAAATAATACAAAATAAAAAAAGCAAAGAAAATAGAAAAAAAGGATAAAATAAAAGAATATTTTATACTTAAAATAAAAACAAATGAAATAAAATAAATTAAAAGAAAAGAAAGTTTAAATATTAAACAAATTTAAATTAAATTAAATAAAAATATATATAAGAATAAAACAAAATAAGGAAAAAATCTATCAAAATAAAATAAAGTAAATTACGAAAAAATAGAAAATAAATAAATCAAAATAAAATAAAAAACAAATTCGATATATTAAATAAAATACAAATAAATGAAACAAAATAAAGATAAATGAAAAAATTACAATAAAATAAATAAAATAAGAACCAATGAATAAAATAAAACGAAAATAAATAAAATTAAAACAAATAAAAATTAGAATAAATATTAATAAAGTAAAACAGAAAAAATATATAAGAATAAAATAAAGAAAGAATAAAATAAATTTCGGCAAAATAAAAAAATAATAAATTAATATAATATATAACAAAAAAATTAATTCAATAAACAAAAAAATTAAAAATAATTGAAATAAGATAAAGATACAATAAAATGAAAAATAGCAATAAAAACGAAACGAAAATTAATTAATAAAATTAAATAAAAATAAATATAAATAAAATAAATATAAATATAAAAAAAATAAAACAGAAAAATTAAATAAGGAAAAAATCTATAAAAATAAAATAAAATAAATCGCGATTAAATAAAAACAAATAAAACAAAATAAAATAAAACAAAAAAAGATTCGCTAAGCTAAAAAAAAATAAAAGAAATGAAACAAAATAAAGATAAATGAAAAAATAACAATGGAAAGAAATAAAATAAGAACCAATGAATAAAATAAAATTAAAAAATTGAAACATAACTCAAATGAAATATAAAAAAAAAAATTATATAAAACACGACAAAATAAAAAAAATAAAATTAAATAAATAATTTATAAAAAAAAAAATATATATATCGAAATAATATACATATCAATACTGCTTAAACTTCAATCAGTACTGTACAAATATGTAAATAATTTTTTTAAGTACATATGCACGTATACATATATGTTTGATGAATCTTTATACCAATTGGCCGGCCGGTTAAATTGTGTTCATTTTTTATTTATTTTGTTTTTATTGAGTTTTTTTTTTATTACAAAACCTTAGAAAACGGCTGTACTTATGCATGTATGTATGTATGTATAAGCATATAATGTACACACATACCTATGCCTGTACTTTAATTGATATTTTCATTGCAAATGTAACCAAACGAGATTTGCACACTGCATTCAAATTGTGAGCAAAGTGCAATAGCAAATGTTGAATGTGCGCTAATAAATACACACACACACACACACACACACAC